CTACCAGGGCAGAGCACAAGATCCTCTCTCTAACCTTTTCCTCGGAAAAGAGACATTTTGGGAGTTCATGAGCAAAATGCCAGCTGTGACTTGGGATGCAGTCCACATAGCGGCAATTTGGTTTGCCTTTCAGGTGCGATATTTAGAATGACAGATTAACTGGTATCGTGAAATGCAGGTCCGGATCTAAGATTTTCTCGAGGGGGGGGGGGGATTTTCATAAAAAACTTCGAAAATTTGACGACTTTTCAGTTTTAGGTCGACCAAATTGTTTTTCCGAGCTCTCCTAAAGAACTAAAAAGACCCTGTTTTGGCCAAATTTTAGGCACCGCAGGTAAATTTTTGAAAAAACAGGTCAAAAAGCCATTTTTGGGCCTTTTTTGGAAAATTTTGACAAAAATTGTGTTTTTTTTAGCCGCTCCTCCTCAAAATTAGTACATATTGGCGCCAAAGGCGGCTTTAGAAAAAATTTAGGGTCGGTCGGACAAAAATGGATTTCTTAAAATTTACCAACGGGGGGAGGGACCCTTTGGGTCGGCAGGGGGTCGAACCCCTGAGAAAGAGAAAGAGCGTCCACAACCCCCCCCCCCTCCCCCCTAAATCCGCCCCTGGTGAAATGAAAAGTGTTTGCTCGAAAGTTCACCAAATCTTTAAAAAATCAGGATCCTTTTGGTGCTTACAGCAACTCCAATTAGAGAATCGATTTGACCTATAATAATATTTCTGAAAACCTTTCGTGAGTCTTAACTCTGATTTGAAATGGAAAATAATCAATTATTTCTGCAATTTTTTCGTAACGATCACTAAATTAATTAATTATATCTTAAAACAAATAAGCGCATCTTTTGGTTCGACGACATAAGGAAAAATTTTTTAGGTGGTGCTAAATCTTCTTCCCGACTTCTTGCACATTGTCATTAGAAACTACAAAGGAGGCATCCAATACGGAGCTGTTACTCCAGCTGGAAATATTCTCCCGTATAATATAAATGGACTACAGGCTTGGCTGATTTCAAATGTACTCTTTCTAGTCAACGGGTTCTATTTAAAACTCTTCTCGCCTACAATCATTGTCGACAATTTTGGCGGGCTTCTCTGGGTTGCGGCAATAACCGGAAACCTTGTCGCGGTCCTTGCCTATTTCAAAGCGCTGATAGCTCCAAACCATGCAAAAGACTGCAAATTCACCGGGTCTATTTTGTACGATATTGTAATGGGCGTCGAAATGAACCCTAGAATTGGGAAAATGTTTGATTTCAAGTTGTTTCTGAACGGGAGGCCTGGAATCGCAGCGTGGACTGTGATCAACATGTCATATGCATGGAAGCAGTATGAATTATACGGTCACGTGACCAATTCGATGCTGCTCGTGAACTACTTGCACGCCCTGTATGTCGTGGACTTCTTCTGGAATGAGGCGTGGTACCTTCACACCATCGACATCTGTCACGATCATTTTGGGTGGTATTATGGCTTTGGAGATCTCGCTTGGCTACCCTGGATGTATACTTTGCAGGTTTGCTTCCAAAATAAAATAAATGAATGATCTATTCAGTTAACTCGTTCAGCAAACGAGAATCTCTTTCTCCATATATCTCTGTAGCTTCTTATTTACAAATCGAATCCAAATGACATAAAAAGTTTTTTTAAAGTGTAAAGAAAATTTTATGCCATTCGGATTCGATTTTTCTAAAGAGTATTTTTAGACATAAAAAAAGAGATCTCGTTTGTTATTGCAAGAGAAAGTTAATTTTGTAAGTGATACCGTTTGGCTCGCAGCTTTATTTTTATTGATTGAACTTTCCAGAGGCAGTTAGAGTCCGAATTAGAGTCGGAGAAAAAAAGAGTCGGAATAAAAAAGATTCGGAATAAAAAAGAGTAGTCGGAATAAAAAAGAGTCGGAATTGTCTGTTTAGGGCCACTTTTTGGTTTACAACCCAAACCAGTTAGATTGGGCGTTTGCTCTTTTCGTGTTTCTGCTCGGAAGTGCCAGCTACCTCATGTTTCGATCAGTAAATGCACAGAAAGACAGCTTCAAACAGTCGGAGGGCAGCTGTCTCATCTGGGGAAAAAAGGAATGAAGATTTCCTTTACAGTCATTTAGTCGCTATCAGGTGAAGCCCTCATGTCAGAAGGACCGAATGCCCGAAAATTAGATTAGCCAATCATAATTGAGTATTCGATATGATGATAAATTAGTTTGCTTTTGGACTGTTTAAAGAACGTTGATTGGTTGATAATTTTTGAGCTTTTGGTTTTCTGTCATGAAAATAGGATAAGGAACGTAACAGTTCAATGATCAAGCGGTCTTCATCTGATTCGCTCTCTTTGCTTTGAATTTCCGTTTTTTGTTCAAACAATTGTAAGCCGATCAAAAAAGTATTGCTATTCAAAGACAAAGGCAGCATGCTAACTACAAACTTAACGAGTTTTTTTACCTAAAAAACTAAAATAATTTAGAACTCACGTAACAACCCCCTGTCCCTCCTCTTTTAAGAATATTCTAGAAAATCTGATTTCTGACTCAAACTTTTTTTTTTAATTTTGGACAAATCGATTAAATCTAACTGCGTTGTAATGAAAGTAAATCTTCTCTGTCTAATCACGAAGGCTGTATTCATACCTGCCGAGTACGTGACGTCATCAGGTGATCGGAAACAGTCTAAGCTTCTCGTGTCTGGATGGTGGGGCATGGCTAGACACATGAACTACACAGCTGACCTCATAGGAGCCCTATGCTATGGACTAGCCTGTGGGTCATTCGAGTTCGTTCCTCACTTCTATTTTTTCTATCTGTTCACACTGCTCGTTCACAGATGTCTGCGAGATGAAGACAGATGCAGAGCCAAATATGGAAAGGCGTGGGAAAAGTACACTTCTAAAGTGAAATACAGACTGATTCCTTATGTGTTCTAAATTGTCATCATAAAGCTCACCTAAAATACAAAATACAGTTTTTTTCCCGAACTCATTTGATATTTCATCTTTATACTTATACGATTCATGTAAGGATTTGGAGAAACGGACTTTTATGCATATTCCTATGGAAGCAAAAAAGATTGAGTTTTATTTATGGCTCAAATGTAACATTTTTTTTTCGTTTTCGTCGAGATGGGAAATCGATAAGGAGAATTTAGAAAACTCTTAAGCTCAACTTTTCCCTGGGTTGATCAAACTTCAGTGCCACAAGCAAGTTTTAGCAAAAAAGAGATCTAAATAAGATTTTATGGCACTTTTTGGCTGATCTTGAAAATAAAGTGCATTTTTTTGGTGCGCGCTCCCCCTCGAACCCAAAATACAATGACGCTTTAGGACGAGTTTTGCTTTGGCCAGTCGAAATATAAATGGTGAAAGCACCAAAAGAGACCGATTGCTGGGGGGGGGGGGGGGGAGGTAAGATGCTCTTCCAAAACAGTATGAATCAGAAGCAGATCCAGGACTTTCTCTTGGGGCGATTTTCAAAAAAATTCTAAAACTTTGTCGCCCTTGTTATTTCGACCAAATTGATTTTCCGAGTTTTCCAAAATCATGACAAGTTTTGAAGGTCTTTTTTGAAGGTTTGACCTAAAAGCTCATTTTTCGGCGCCCCTTCAAAGTTTGTTTATATTTTATATTGGCACCAAAGGCGCCTTTGGAATTTTTTTTAGAGTTTGTCAGCTTCAGAGTTTCAACAGCTTCATTTAGTGCTTGTTTGGCAAGAAAAAACTTTTATCAGAAAATCAACAAAATTTTCTGCAAAAAATAAGAAAAATGATTTTTGTAGATTTTTTAAGAATATGATTGGATCATTCTGAGCTTTTTGCACAGCAATCGGCTATCATTGTTTGTTTTTTTTTGGAAGAATTTGACCAAAAGTAGCGTCGTGAAAACACTAAGTTGGCAATGAGCAATAACTGAAAAACTCAAGTGAAAATATGCTGTTTGATATATTCTTTCGAAATACGCCTCCACCACCTCAGAAACTCGATACCCTGAACAATCAAAGGCACCTTTTGGTAGTTTTTTTTGCACATCCATTCTTTGCTGACCAAGCCTAAAATGGTTCTAAAAACTCCTTATATTTTTTTTCAGGGATTTTTACGCTCTAATTCATACCTTCAATCATAAAATTTGAACAAATTACATAATTTTCAGGCCAGAAATTCATACAGTGTCGATGTAAGTTATCATGACAAAACTCATAAAATTAAAACGGCGTTTTTCTCAAATTGGGTTGACTTTAGACGAAAAGAGATGAGGACAGATTTTAGCAGAATTATTATGGTGCAAATTGTTTTGAAAAATTCGGGGTTAAAACTTTACCTCAAAAATGGATTTTTTTTGCTATTTTTAGTCAATTAAGAATTACAACAAAACTAAAAAATTAATTACTGTGAAAATGAAATCAAAGTGAGCTTCTTTTGTGGCCTAACAAATTTTGAGAAAATAAATTTGCCAAAACATTGTAAAATTTTGTTTTCGTTTGATAGCCAAAAAGTCATTCTTACTATAAAAAAACAGTATCTTATGTAAAAAAAGTTTTGAAACGTTTTGCGCTGATTTTTGGAGACCATACGATTCTTAAACTTTGTTGCACCACGTAGAAGAATCACTGTGATTTAATTTTGAGGGTAATTGATTTCGTAATTTTGGTGTAGATATAATATAATTCACTAAAGAGCCGAAGTGATCCAGCTTTCCGTTAAAATACTGGTTGAAGTTTCAAGTTTTATGCGATTTGTCCGGATCAACAATAGACTTTTTTCTTCTCTCCCGCGAGCATGGATTTTATGGCGTAACGAGAGGTTTGACAAGGTTAATCATGAAGATTAAATAGGTTTGCATTTGCTTAAGTAGTTCGTATGGCCAATATCATACCAATCAGACATTGTGAATAAATTTTTACGAGTAAAGCTTTGCAAATGGGGAAAAGGAAAAAGAGCCCAGCATTGTATAAGTTTCTGGTCTTAAGCTCATGTAGTTCGTAATCTTAATTTACAGTACACCATGCAATGGGAAGATTAGGCTTCATTGGTAGATCTGAAATGTTTGAAATGTTCGATCTCTAGTTATATCAGGATGGGTACGAAAGCATCTAAAATTTAAAAGTATATTGAGTTTTTTGAAAACCACAAAGAGCCGAATCTCATGAAAACCTCATGTAGAGCCGAATCATTAAAAATTTCGCAAATACGCCAAAACTGAGTACTCTCATAAGTAGCCCTATCTTAAATCTTTGAATCCAATTGTCCAAATCGATCAGGTAATAAGCGTCTCCGTCGATGCCCGTCACCAGAAAACTTCAAAGCAAAGCAAGGTAGTTAAAATTAATTGACTAGCTCATGCTGATTAGCCTTGAAGCCTAAAGCGATAATACAAGAGGTGCGAAGCGATAAAAGTAATCTGAACTTAAAAAGTAATCTGAACTTACAAAGAAGTGAATTTTACCAATGCAGCAACTGACTTATCTCAAAAACTCATTTACGTATCATTTAAACAACACTTTAGTACACGTGATGGCAATTACACGCACCACTCAGCATGTAAAGTTTGTTCAAGAACCGTTAAATGTGTTGTAAGAACATTTTTGGCAAAAAAAACAAGGAGTCTCTGGAAAAATGGTCAAAGTCGACGTCTTTTTGTACCGAGAAAAGCGTTTGTCCGCTTCTTTTAAAGATAAATTTTGCATGATAACTGAAATTATCGGAGAGTAAACGCGGCTGAATTATTCGACAAAATATTTTTTGAAGGAAGTCTTAGATCCGTTCCATTGCGCCTTACACTGGTTTTAAAACTATATGTTGATCAAATTGACAGAGGCAGAGATAGGGGATGGTTTCAGATCGGGAAAAGCAATTTTGTGAGCTCTGCCAAAACACTATAATCATATAACAATCCTATTTAGCCAAAGTTTTCTGTCGCAGGCTATTTTAAAAAAAGCGTTTTTTTTGGATGCTGTTGGCAAAAATAATCGCGTTTTTGAGAGCGCTTCCCCCTCAGCCCTCCATTTCCCTCCACAAATTTAGTATATATTGATTATTGACGTCACAAAGAAGTGATTTCAGAAATCTTTAGGGTTTACTTGTCTGAACAATGCTGTCAAATCGTCGGTCTATGGCTGTTAAATGGTACCAAAGACGTGAGCCCTTCGAGTGGACATGGAATCGAACCCTCACAGGGTAGCGTCGCCATTCACGAGCGGTTATTATTTTTTGTCTGATTCATAGGTACTGTTTTTGACCTGCTGATTCAGTTTCGTGTATGGTGTGTATGGAGATTTTGTAGGGAAAATAAGTATAATTACATCAAAAATACATTTTTTTACGTCTCCGTGCCATAAAAATCAGTAGCGGTGAATCAAAACAAAAGCTTCTAGTTGCTTACCATTTTTGAATGGCTTTAAATTCCTTTGCTTGCAATATCATAGATGTTCAATTATACAGTTAAAAATTATTGAACCATTATAGAAATAATCAAAATTTGATCTTTTTTTGCTAATTACCTTTTTTTATGTTTCCAGCAACTTTTGCGATACTTTCAGAGAACAGAAATTAACAGGAAAAACTTGAGAATTGACTTTTTAAGATATTTATATTTTTAATCTATTTCAATCTCAATGAACTTTAATATTTAAAATTGAATCGATTATAAAGAAAAAATAATGAGCCGTAAGAGTTCATCCAACAGTTATCTAACCAGCGATGTTCCAGATATCATTCGTGACAACACCTCCTCTAGACCCGGCACCTCCCGGAGTGCCGTCGGAACGACCCGTCAACATGTGTACATGCGGAGGATTAGAAGCGAACCTTTAACTTTCATTGATGAAGTTTACGGAAGGTAAGAAAGCTCGTTTAGTAGTTTGAAAATTTGAAATAGTGTTTTAGTGCACACTAAAACTTCGACATGCTTTCACATGTTCTGACCCTATTAGACTTGCCACTACTGCTGATTTGTTTTGAAGATTCTTGTTAGAAAAAAGTGAGCATCAACGATAATTGTGAAAAAATCCGTTTGTCTTTTTGCAAAAAATCAAAATCACTGCCAGAGACCTGGCAGAGGTAGCATTTTGCACGCGTCGTCATCCGTGCCAAAAACCACCAGCTGTTTTCAAAACAGTTCAAGTCTTGGGACTGGCAAGCTCGCAAGACACATCAACACGATTGCATTGAAAAACTCACAGTTCTGTGTTAAAACGAAAGAAAGTTACTTTGTTTTTTAAACAGTACCCAGTTAATAAGTTCTTTTGCCACTTTGTGATCGAAGCAATCAGTTGACGCTGGTAAAAATTGTTGATAAGTCTGACGCGGAACAGTCCGTCCGTTCAAGACTTCCAACACTTTTTCAATTAGAAACTTAAAATATGCTTCTGAAAAATAAACACTTTTTGTCTGAACTAAACAAAATAAACACTTTTTGTCGGAGCGCGCACTACAAATTTACAGCTAAATGCTGCTCTTATACACTTCTTTACTTTGGGTATCTGCGAATCGTTCTTTGGTTCGAAATTTGTTTGAAATGTCGAGTGTTCATTGAATGAATTGAGTTTCCGACACTTCTTCTGAGCTAAATTTTTATCAAAACAATTTGAAACTTATCTCTAGGGCGTTGAAGAACTGGAATTAAAGCTGATACAAATTGGTCTTATTCCGCTATTTTGCAATGTTTGAATATTTTCCTTCACTAGATTTTATGGATAATAACTGATTCTTTGCATTTTTGTCGCCAGTTTCTATAAAATAAACAAATAATCAATTATAGTCTACCCAATTTGACCAAAATTGCTAGTGATACAATTTTCATATAAAAAAAGCTAATTATACACTTTTCATGCAACTCCAAAAATACAGAAAAATGCATGAAAGCGATGTTTCATTTATGGGAAAAAATGACGAAGTTTTTCATAAACCGAAACATTTGTTTTTTTTTTAAATTTAATTTCGTCTCAAATAATCTGCATGCAAAAAAAAATAGCTTTTGGAAAAAATGTTGGAGTAAAATAAAAAATTCGTTTTGTGGTTAAAAAAAAACAAAAATTCTTTTCAAGAAATTTTGAAACTGTTTCAAAAAAATTGTTTTTGCCATCTGGATATATCGAAATTGTATGACTTTGTATTTTTTGACAAAAGGTTTAATTTTTATCCATGACACACCAATTTTATGCAAAAACAAAAAAATTCTCTAAAAGTTTGATGAGAAAATTTTAGCTACATATATGAAATTTGTATGTCTAGTATTTTCTTAAAGACATAGTTCTTGGAAATGTATGATTATCAATTTTGTTCTATGGAGATAAAACCGGGTTTTTAATTTGAAAAAGGACGATACAATTTTTTATCGCAATAAATTCCATTTTAAATTTTTATAATTGATTATAAATACATTGTAATCGTTTTTTCTACAGTTGGACTGCTGTTTTCGAACACACTCCATTTGATTGAAAAATTAACGGTTCTTTTTTTTTCAAATCACACATTGGTTTATTTTAACTGAAAATTACTTTGATCGAAAACTAATGTGTTTGTTTGTTTTTTTATCGGAATTTGTCCACTGTGTTTAATTTTTTTGTTTTCTTTTTAGCTGTCGGTTAGGCTGCGTGCCTTTCTTTTTATGCACTAAACAGTCACTAGCAAGCCCGCCTCCAATAATCAATTGACTCGCAAAAATTAGTCGTTGTTCTGATCAAGCTATCCAAGCAATGAAATTTTGAACAATTTCGGGTTGAGCCATATCGTAAATCGGTTTGAAAAACTTTAGGTTTCATAGTACGAATCCTTTTGCGAAAAAATGAAGTTTTTCCAAGCAAGCTATTCAAGCTATGAAAATTTCAAATATTTCAAAATGTTTCACGAAGCAAATCTGATGGCGAAACTTTAGGTTTACTATTAAAACAAGAAGCTATTAAAACAAAAAAACTTAGAAATATTTCTAGTTATTTTATAGACTGAATCGGTTCGCGAAAAATTTAAGTTGTTCTAAGCAAGCTTTTGCAGCTAGAAATTTTAAAAATTTTTTTAATTATTTTAAAAACTGAATCAGCTTGCAAATTGAAAATTATTTCAAAGGTCAAATCCCTTTGCGAAAAGTTAGCTGAAAAAGGTTTGCGAAAAGTTCTGCTTTAAACAATACGGTCTATAAATTGTCCTGAAATAGTTCAAAATTTTTGTGAGCACGCTTTTCATGTGATGAAAACTTGAAATATTCTAGTTGCTTCATAGAAAAAATCGACTTGCGAGAAATTTCAGTTTTTCTAAGCGAGCTATTCAGGCAATGAAAGTTTGAAACACCTTAAGTTTTCACAGAGCAAATTTATGTTTTTTTAAGCAAGATATGCAAGCGATGAAACTTTGAACTATTTCAAAACAATTTCATAGCGCAAATCTGATTGCAAATAGTTAGTTTTTCTAGCAAGGAGTTTGTTGTATTTAGTTGGTTTTAAATCATTTTATGTTTTTACAGAGCAAATCGGTTTGCGAAAAGTTGATGCTTTTCTAAGCAAGGTATGCGAGCGATGAAACTTTGAAATATTTCAAAACAATTTCATAGCGCAATCGGTTTGCAAACAGTTAGTTTTTCTAGCAAGGAGGTTGTGGTTTTAGTTGGTTTGTTTCAAAATGAAACCAATCTGAAAAGGCAAAATTTCGGAAAAAAGGAACAGGCACTGTCTAGCCTTGAAAATGAATTGAGTTCATCTAGTCTAAAGAATTGAATTTTTGTCAAAAATAATTCTACAATATTCCAGACTTGAGAAAATTCGAAAGTTCGAGATCGTTCTTGGCATTGTCTTAAACGGTAAGCCTAAAGAATTATTTGAACGTTGCATTTGACAAGCTAAAACATTGCGTTCAGTTAAACATTGCATCCATAGCGCATGCCGATTTTCATTTAATATATTAGATTATATATCTCTTGTTTTTACCTCCCCTGAAATCAAATTATTCCAAAAAAGTTTCTATCTTTTGAAGTAGATTTTCTTAAATTTGAAATCTTATCCTGTTTGAGAGAATCGTGGATAAGACCTCGAGAAAAAATTATGAAAAGAAGAAACATTGAACCAGCTATAAGAAAGTTTATACCAAATTAATGTTTCTTGTGCGTCATAGTTTTGCAGAAATTAGCATGACTGTACAAGTTGTTCTGCAGACAAATTTTCCTCAAAATGGATGTGCGCAAAAACAAAATCGACTTGCAAAATTGAAATGTGCAAAATCAGATTTGTTCAATTTACATAAAGAAAAAAGTGATCTTAGTGGAAGAAAAACATATTAAAATGCCTTATTTTATTTTGAAAATTTAAAACGGATTTAGGTTTTCTAAAACAAGTATCAAAGTTTGATTAATTTTTTCCAGTTTTTTGTTCCATTTTATTATTTTTATCATAAAAAATCACCGCGGAGTTTAAAAAATATCCGGAGGATGAAGAAAGCGTTAGAACATCGATTGTTACATTGTATAAAAGAAAAAAGACACAAAAAAAAACACTTTGACAATTTTTTATAAGCAATTATATGTTTTTTATGAGCAATTATATGCTTTTAAATCAATATTATTGTTCCAAATTTTGGAGCAAAGGAGGAATATCTACTCTTGAGTTGTTTTTTTTTGTTCAAATCTATATCTAAAGGAGCTGAAAGAAAGTTTCAGAAATGGAATAGAACGTGGAGTCTAATTGATCCCAAGCGTGTTGGCTACGAAGTATCCTACATGCGCTTGGATCTTCTGTACACTGCTGCTATCATTTTTTTCAAAATTTTTTCATGATTCTAAAAATATTATTCCAATTATTACCCGGAACCGCTAATTTTTCCAAAACAAAAACAAAACAGCTTAATTAGTCTTTTTATTTTTTTAAATGACGCAAATATGTGATACTGGCAGTCCAAACTTTACAGCTAAACGAAGTTTTCGGATTCAAAAAACCATGCAGATCAGCTAAAGGCTAGTCAGAACAACCGCGGGTTTGTTATATGAGCACTCTTGCTAGGCAAATTGCCGCTTTTTTCATCGACACTTAGACAATTTTACATAATTTTTTGGGATCCGAACGTCAATTTATGTCAACGTATGCCCCGTACAAGCTTACAGCGGGGTACCAAAAATCGGGAAAAGGTCCACCAAAAAAATTTGACAAACTACGTGAGTAGGCAACAAATTTTTGCCAGATGAAACAACAAGAAGCGAAGAACAGTAGCGCCTTTAATTCTGCTATAAAATTTTTTGCAAAAGAGCTCAATGAATCTATCCTACTGAAAAATTTTAGTGGGAGCATTTTAATTTTGAAAAAAATTAACTACAGTCACATAGAACAGAAGGCTTAGAGCTCACTCACCATTTTGGGAGAAACTTTGAAAATATATATATTTAATTTAACCTGTTTGAAAGATTTGGAAAATATATTTCGAACAACAAAGATCCGAGAAGGTGCCAAATAAATTAACGGGCTTATGTTCAAAAAATAATAAAGACTGAATAGTTTTTGTTTCGACCATTGAACATGGGGAGGAACTTTATATTCGGGTGTGTTTAATTTTTTTCTTTTGGTTTTCCACGCAAAACCAGCTACCACAAACAATCATCGGACTGATGTGAGTGGCATATCTTATTAAAACCCTTTCAATCGTGATTCGAACGACATTAAATTGAAAAAAAAAATACGGTTTGAATTTTTTGATTTTTTGTCTTAATTCTAGCAAATAAAGCAAGCGAGCAAGCTTACAACAGCTTAATTAGGAAAATTTTAAAATTCAAGCCCTGAAAATTGAACTTTGAGCAAGTGAAATTGATTTTTGCAGTTTTTTAGCTACGTTCTGGAAACCAAAATTTCAAAAATTGGAAAATTTTCTTCAAAAATTTGAAAAAAGAAATTTTTTGAAATCTTTCGTTTTTTTTTGTTTTTCTAGTCAATTTTTTAAAAAACGTTTGAGTCCTAATTGCCTGTTTCACTATGAAAGCCAAATATGCCTAAAATATGGTTTTACATCAGACTTTTTTTATCACCCCCGCAGAAAAACTAATTTGAAAAAAAAGAGCTTTATCTTGTAGTTTTTTAAAGACTATGGTCGGAACATTCTATGGTACTTGCACAGTAACCGGTTATCCTTGTTTTGTTTTTGGTTTTATGATGAGTGGAATGTGTAATTTGAACTAAAACTAAACCACCAAATTTTTTTTTTGGATTTTGAATAAGTTTTGTCCTGTCGATATCGATAACAGGGCTAACTCGTTGAACAGTCTTGAAAATTTAGTACTTTCAAAGTAGTCATTGTAACTGAAAAAATCTGGTAAAACGTTAGAAATTATTCAAACATTGCAGATTGAATGTCTCTTAACTGTGTTCTTGCATTTATGCTCCCGTAAATTTTTCTGCTCCTGTAATTTTTTTCCTGTAAAATCCACCCCTTCTTCTCATCGAGGAATTACGGCGAAGCCTTTGAAGAATAGTTTTTTAAATTTAAAACTTAACGCTTTACAAACTAAAAAAATAGATTTCACATAAAGATGTAGTAAAATTAAAGGAGAAAACATTTGCTCCTTTTAACTTTCTTTTCTCCCGACAACGACAAACCAATCGCCCGGTCAAAAATCGGCTTGATTCCCTCTCGTGTTTTCGCAGAACATTCCAAATACGCGTCGGCTTTGATCTTCTCGGCTAATTGATTACCCATCTCGGGTGTTATGACCTCTTGCGGACTCAGCTCTCTCCTTCGGTCAATTTTGTTTCCAGCTAGAATAAAGTGGGTGTATTTGCTGAAGTGTTGCACTTCGGGATGCCATTTCCACTCTATATGGTCATATGCAGTTCTACTGTCGACGCCGAACACCAGGATAAAGCAGGTCGTGCCCGGGTACGCAATCGGCCGAGTACGGTCGTAGTCGTCTTGGCCTGCGGTGTCGTGGATTTGCACCTCAATTTTTTCGCCGTTCACTTCGACTCGGCAGTTGTATAAGTCGTAGACTGTTGGCACGTGGTCGTCTTCGAAGCTGTTCGTGGCGTACGAAGCGATCATTGAAGTTTTCCCGACTGCTCCGTCACCGACTACAACTATTTTCACCTTTTTCTCTTCGTACATTTTCCGCCAAATTTCTAAATATCTTTCCTCAAAAAATTGGTAATATTTTTTTATGCGTTAATAATGGAAGAAGCACTGTGAGCGCTGAATATTTTAATCTCAGCCTCTTGTTTCAATTTTTTGGCAAATTCCTTTCGATTTAAATTAACAAAACTTTGGATTTGTAAAATACCAAATAATAGCTAAAGACTGAATGTTTAATGTTGAATCACCATCGTCGAAGAATTATTCGCAAATTATTGAGCATTTGGAGCCAAACACTGTATCGTCTAAATGTTGTTTATTTAACATCAACTTGGGCAACATCGAAACTTTCTTCGTTGACAATTCAAATCGGATTTTAGGAGCTTATTTCTTGCAAACTATAGAAAGCTGAGGGTTAAAAGGCATGTTTGATACCATCAATAGCGACTAATTGATCTGTGCTAAAGTATTTTTTGAAAATATGTGATTAAGTAACATAACTCTTGCCTGTTCAATCAAGGAATACCAATAGATCTAAGATCCCGGTTGACAAAAAAGCGCTGCTGGTAAAGCAATGTTCATAACGAGGACGACCATTCAATTCATACGCCCAGAAAACAGTATGAAAATTTCTAGCACTATCATTTTATCCCAGCAATGCAAATGTATGGCTAGCATTCTCTCTATTGCATGAAAAATTTCTATCAAGTATATAAACAATTTTTTTCGAGTTTTGATTTCAGTTTGTGTTTTTGTTTTAAAACGCAATAAACAAGGAAATTCTAAAAAAAAAGAAAAGCTACAGATTACTTGGCGATACCTGCCAGACCAGCTGCGTTTGGATGTTTGCCATCTTAAACTTAGCTAATGTGTTGAGTTTCACACAGAGTTAAAACAAAAAAAAAACATAATTTTTGGGTACAGCTGGAGATTTTTTGTGTTTTAAAATTTCAGCGGTTGAAAACCGTGGCATGTTTGGTTTGCGATATTTGAATTTCTTTTACAATACAAAAGCCAAAATGTATAATTTTGACCTTCGAAAAAAAATTCCGAGAAATTTCTGTTTTTTTTTGTGTGTTAAAAGACAAGCCGTGTAAGTTTTTTCAGCAAGCCCTGTAAGTTTTTTAAAACAGAACGTACTACACGAAATTAAACTGAGATACCCGATTCTCAAGATACACCCAGTGGAGAAAAGGATAAAAGACGTATACTGCGGATTCACCAACGAAACTATCAATATCTTGGGAAAGATAATTGTCAGAACACAGTCCAATTTTTTTCGTGTCTCGGATAACTTATAGTCTAAACAAATTCGCATGCAAGGCTTCCTTTTCGGCTTGTGCATAAGAGTATTTTTAAGATCTTCGACAAATGAAGCGACATAGGTATATAAAGAAAGAGATTCTCGTTTGCTGAATAACTTACTTCATTACTTTTTCTCAAGCTTATTAACTATCGATGTTAAAAACCAACATATTGAGAAACTATCGATGTTAAAAACTAACAGAAATCATAGCAGGATCAAAGGCGCCTGAAAACGGGCTGCAAAATTCCACGGCATTCTCGCAATAAGGTTTCATTTGGTTGTAAATGTAGTAAATTTTACAGTGAATAGAACCTACATTGAAAACAATTTATTATGATTTTTGTTAAGTATCATTTACTTTTTTCAAATATTGTCGTTGTCGTTTTATGCAGGATAAATTGTGTTACGCAAACATTACACAAAACTTCCAAAGAAAGACAAAAACACGAAATCAAATAAAATTTCGAAAACTTTTTTGCTGAATTTTTTTTTGCAGAAAAAACTTCAAAACAAATTAACTGAAAAAAAATTTTGAGGGCTTGAATCAAAGTTTTAGTGGCTCCTTCTACAATAATCTAATCTAAAAGTCGAAACTTTCAAATCGGTTTTTAGGGACACTTTTAAAATAATTTGGAAATTTTTCAATGTCATTGAAACTACGACTGAAAGGGCTTTAAAATGATATATCACTCAATCAACCCGTCCTAATAAGTTGTTGTGGTAGCTTATTCGGCGTCGAACAAAAAAAGACTAATACACCTGAACACAAAACTCTTCCCCAATATCACTGGTCAGATTAAATTTAAACTACTTGGCAAGAAGTGCTGGCTGTAGGAAGCAGCATTTTGATTTTTTTTTAAATTGCCATAGAAGAAGCGCTCATTTCTATCGCCATTTAGAGTTCTCTTGCTCTAATCTGCAAAAAAAAATGTTTTCCTGCCGTGTTTTTAGCTAGCTGATCCTGCACGCTCCACATTTTATTGATAACCAGATGAACAAAAATTTATATATTTTTGTTTGGTAATAGAAAATTTGGTGCATTTTTCTCATTTTCATCCTCACAGTCAATTCCCATTTTCATTTGAAAAAATGTTAAAATTTTTGAATAAAAATTTTTTTTTTAATTTGATAGCTCAAAATTGAAAAACCATCAAAACTGATTTCGGGCATATTTCAGGCAGTTAGCAATTTGAAGCTGAACATTTATCCTCATTTCTATAACTGCCCAAATATGGGGGACCTTAAGTTATTGGGTTTCTCAATAAAACTGCAAATTTACTCTAATCAACTATGCTTTAGCATAGTAAACGAAAAAAAACAACGATAGTTCAACACTTATCATATCTATCACTTTTGAATAAATCATTTTCAAGGAAAAAAAAAGAAACGAATCAAACCAGCCGCCTAACAGAATTGTAATATTCATAGATTGACAGATAAAATAAAAAAAAAACTAAAACTCCTTATTTTCACGGAACTGATTTTGAGAACAAAAAACCTGATGAACATTTTTTGGACAATTGTTTTTTATAAATTTAACTCAAAAAATGCTAGTCATACAATTTCCATACACGGAATTGTATGACTAGCTTTTTCTGTGTGTGGCGGTCAACGCGGGTAACTCTTTTACAACTTTTTTTACTATTTATATTTAGGTTCGTAGATGAAGACGTCTTTGAGAAGCTGTTGATTGAATCTGGCCTAGAAAACTTCCTGTTATGCGACTTGTACAATCGGCTAGAGGAAGATGTCATGCGAGGAACCAAAGACCACGTCGTGTCTAAAGAGGGACGAGTGGATGCTGAGATCCTGTGGCAGCTGACTCTTAGAATAGCAGTCGATTTAGCCGAAAGCTGCTCCATTTTTTCAACCATCACTCTGGTGTTGCTTTTGGCCGAAGTTAGATACCTTCTGTGAGTCAGGGGAAAATATACAGCTCAAAAGTCAAGTTAAAACTTAACCGACCGCCATAACAACCCCCCACCCCCGCACCCATTCACCCTTCGATTCTGGTTGCAAAATTTTTCCAATAAGTCGCCCTTTGTTATAATTTTACATCAATTTGACATCAGTTTTTGGCTGGTCAACATCAAAAATTTTTCAAAGGCGCCTTTGGTGCCATTATAACTAAATTTGAGGGAGAGCGCGCGCCGAAAAACTTTTTCTAGTTTTTTTGAAAAGTACTCGGAACGTCATTTTATCATGTTTTTTTTTAATAAAAAAAATTTGACTTCGGAAAAATTTGAATTCGGAAAAATAGTCGACTTGAAAAAATACAAGGTAGAAAAAATAAAAGGTAGACCTAATTAGAGACCACAGCTAAAAAATATATAGAGAATCTGTTTGCTACATTATGTTTTGCAGTTCCTGGGCCGAAATTGGAACCCGAAACAAAATTGTGATGCTGAAATAAAAGTTGGTTGAAATCGCTAGGTATTAATAAATATATTGTAGACAAAATGGATGCTTGTATTATTGAAGAAAATTTACTTTATGGAAAAGGAAAAACTAGCGAATCAGGACATGGTACTGAATCTAAGAGTGAAAACCAGTCGATTGATGAAACAAACCCCGATGTTTGGAGAAAAAAATCAACAAATATTTAGAAAAAAAATTGAGTAATTTTAGGTCCAGTAGAGGGGAAGTAATGGAGGAGAATGTGAGCATGGGTAGGAAGATGGAACAGATGCGTGAACACATTGAGCACATAGTGGAGGATGGGAGGGGACTGGAACAGTCGATGGAAGAAGAAACTGCCAAAAAAATAAGGTGAAAAAATCCAAGCTCCAAATTCATCATGACTGCGAATTAAGATCGACAGACAATAAATAAAAACATCTTAAACCCTGCAAAATCAACATTTTTTGTTAAAAAAAACTTTGCTTCTAAGTTGCTTTGTTCAAACATTCGACAAAATTGGCACAATAACCATCCAATTGACAAAAAAAACAATCATTTATTTTACAATTTTTAGTTTTCCCTATACTTGTTCACACCACTCTAAGAGAGGTGAGTATGTTGGGTTTTTCCTGTGCGATTTTACCTTCCTCAAAGAAAATTATTGGAGGTCAAAGAAAATTATTGGAGGTCAATTGAAATATCATATAAAAGAAGTTTCTGTCTTGATTTGGAATCCATAAATTTAAAAAATTTCTCTCAGTGTCGAAAAAATTGGTAAGACTTTTTAGCTATTAAGACTCAAAAATGTATCGTTTCATGTTCTTTTTTTAAAACCAATTTATGGTTCCTTGTTTCTAGTTCCTGTTTTTACTTAACTACGACAAAATTTGTAAAACAAAGTTTTTAGTATTTTAATTGATCTGAACATTAATTGAAATATCAGAAAATACCCAAAAAATGGGAACAAAAAATCAAAAATATGTTTAAAACATGACTTCATCTGAACATTGAATAAATTTGGTTACAGCAGCGTTGCTCAATTTGTACGAATTTAAATTCGACGAGCACTCAAACTTTTTCTACTTTCTGTGTTATAATCGCTGATGATTATAGTTTTCAAAGTTGAATTAATAAACACGCACATTTTTACGTCGAGAGTTTCTTTCTCTATGGTTTGCTATCAAACAAGTAGCTTTTGCTTAGAATTTAATCAGTCAAAAAAATCAATAGCTCTCGAATGCATTTTCTTTAAACTAGATTACTGGAAAAATATTACTGCGATCAACTAAAGAAGCAAGAAGAGGAGTTCCAGGAATCGACGTGTTCTCTGAAGCAGTTTTGGCTGGAGTCGCAAAAGCAACAAGAAGAAGAAATTTCCAGAGCCCATTTGAAGCTTACCAAAAGCAACCAAGCTGTGAAAAGCTTGCAAAAGGTAAAGATCTATCTGTTTGATAGGAAGGCTGAAATTGTTTAATTTTAGGTATGCTTTTAGGTAATTTTGAAAAATATAAAAACCATAAAAGTTTCAGAACTGCAGGCAAAGTTTTAAAAAAGTTTTCGTAATTACTTTGAATAACAATTTTTCAGTTTTTTTTTCAACATTTTTTCACTTCACTTTTTGTTCAATCTAAACTCAATTTCAGAAAAACACGTTTGAAATTTCCAATGTTGTTCGTTCTGTCCGGTTAATTTAAATCAGCACTGTGTTCAACAAGAATGCTCGTATATCGGGGCAAAGCCCTGAATGTTCCGACTGTCTCTAATAGTTTTGGCGAAGAAATTATTCGAAAACGATAGATTTTGGACAATATCGAAGATCGAGTGTGCAAATATTAGTCGTACAAAATTAATACGATCGATTAGCTAGCCTCAATTTAAATTGGAGCGATTTTGCTGTGCGGGATATTTTGCCACGCATAAATAATTCGCATTACTTTTTAAGCATTACGAAAAAAAAATTCAAAGCGCGCATAAATTAGTCCGGAGCATGACCGAATTGGCTATTTTCAAACTACCAGAACTTTACGATCAGAGGTACAATATTTTCTGATTCAAGGAGTTGATGTTTTCAATGGCGTATAAAAATTGTTGTTAAATACTATTACTTCTATCCCCGATTTAGTCGGAACGAAAACGCGAGTAAATCTCTCTTCTTGTTTTAATCTATAGTAATAAATGTGAATTTAATCAATATGCAGAAGCTCAAATGTTGATTATATGTTGATTGTTTTTTTTATAGTCTAGTTTTAGCAGAAACTTCCTGAAGAATTACAAATTTTCGCAAGACTACTTATATAAGGGCAAATCCCTGAATGTTCTGACTGGTTTTTAAGGTCTATGGAGCAAAAATCAACGTGAAAAATTTAAATGTAATAAAATAAAATGAACAAAAAAAATTAAACTTGTGATTTTTTTTTGAAATCATCAACCCACTCGCCATATAAAAGACAAAGTGATAAATTTAGCTCCTAGCTACAAATCAATTGTGGCAAATAAGCTTCCTTCAACCAAATTGGAACAATTTCTAAGACGGATTAAGTCGGTTACGTAGCACTATTTAGACAACTGCGAATTCAGACTTATCAGTAAGCAGACAAATACTGTATTAAACATCAGAATCGAGACAAAGAAGAAATGAATAAACAATAATTATTAATTTCGCAAGTTTGCTTTCCCATCTCGACTCTGGTCGGTTAATGTAATATTTATCTGCTTACCGACAAGTATGAATACGCGGTTGTCTAAATAAAGACCGCAATCCGATTAAATCTCTGCTTACCGCTAATAGCGCGAAATATATCGCTCGTTAATTGTCCCAAAACGGCAAAAATGGCAATCCTTAAAACCCCATAACTTTACAAAAAAATGATCACAGGAAATGATATTTAAAAAATTCCGTAAAAAAGCTAGCTAAAAATTGACATTTGTCTGAAGAAAAAAACCCACCCCGAGCACAAATAATTCGTTACTTTTGTTACGAAAGTCGGAACAAAAAACAAAAATTTGCTTAAAAACAACTTTAACTGCTGCACATTTTTGAAAACATTCTCCGAGTCAAGTTGAAGAGTAGACATTCAAACTCCAAAATTGGCAAATTTAATTACAAAAATTAGAAACAGCCACAGTGTTCCGAAGGTTCTGACCTCAGTTAGTGTTGCAATGAAGGCGAAAAGAAATAATCTTTTTTTCTCTACTTTTTTTTTCTATATTTTGACATTTTAAAGCTAGCCACGACAAAAGTACCAAGTTAGCGAAATCAAAAAGACCAAAATATTGATGGAATCAGTTCTTGCTAATATGATAGAATTAGAATACTGAAACGGACGAGAGTTTCAACGGACTGAGTGGAAAAGGACACAAAAAATTAAAATACTGAAACACACAAGAATGCACTTTAAGCTCATAACAAAAATCTATTCAACCGAATTGTCGGATTTGCCTACGAGATTTCGAGAGCAACGAAGAGTTTTGTGATTGATGTTTTTTACCAATTGTTCGCCTAAACTTTTCTTCAATATGACAATGTGTTCGAGATATATTTTGAATCTCTTTATAACTAGTTTATTTGAAAATTTAACTAAACGGTTTTTATGTTTCAGGTCATCGATAGCAAAGAAGAAAAACTACGTTGTTTAGAGCTGAAACTCGGCCGTTTTTGCATAAAGGTAGCTAAATTTTCTAAATAATAACTATCCTATTCTGTTCTCATTAATAACAGTTGCGTTCTCTGGTGGTTATGTATAAATCAGTTCAAACCTTCTTGAAGCCTCTCATATCTCCACCTCGGGACACAACTAGAAGGCACAGAACAATTTCAGATCAGGTTCCTATATCCGGTTGAGCTCTGTAAGATGCCTGAATTAAATCGTCATTTTTATGATATTGTCTTAATAATAGAACACAGACTACAGAGCATCAGAAAAATAATCGCCCAAGAAACAACAGGTAGAGCTTTTTCATGTTAAAACTTTACATGCACAACTAAGCAATAATTATCCAAATTAAATAAAGTAGACAAATCACTTCATTTAAGAGGGCAGAGGGAAAACTTTTACGCTCTTCATTAAAAGTTTTCTATTTTTTTGTCTAATTTTTTGATCCAAACGCGGTACTGGATTTAATTTTTCATATGAAAATTACAAACTCATTTAACTGAGACAGAATGTTCTCTTTCAGAATGAATTGGATAAATTATTATGACACACATGTTACAAGTAATCTTTATTTGTGGTTAGTTAGTTTTTTCCATCTCTACTTTGTGGCGCTAGCAAAACTTGGACCAATTTTTCCATTCTTCATAAAATGGTAAGTGTGAAAAAAATTGCAGTGTCACTTTCAGTAGCAGATAGCCAAAAAGAGACTGATAATGTTTATTCTTCTGCACATATGTTGAAAACTGTTATCACACCAAATGTGTAACGTCAACATTTTCCACGCTTTTATAATGACAAGGAAACATTCAATTTTAATTTTTTATCTAATTCAAATTGACGATAATTTGTTAATTTAAAAATCGATCATTTAAACCAAAACCATTTTGAAACTGTCATTAATGAAATCCTAAAATTATTCCATTGGTAAAAACTAAATTTTGGAGTTTCGAGCATGTTTTCTTTTTTCCAGAAGAAGAAAGAAGAGGAAGAAAAGGAGACGAAGGAGTCCGACTCGTCTGAACCGGAATCGAAGAAAAATCCTCCCCCTCTTGTGACACAGCGAACACTGAGCCCTGTTATCATCGGAGACGACGAAGAAGCGCCAAAAGAACAAGAAGGTAGCAAGTTGAAGAAAAACTAACTTGAAGCGCCCGGGAACTCCGATTCTTAAAATTTTTTTATTCGGGTGTTTCCACTTATAGCCCCCAGTAAGTTGAAGATGACCCTCGAAAAGCAAAAATACATAATACAAAAATCGTTGCTTGTTGCAACTTTTTTGCTACCAGGCCAGGCTGGGTGGGTGGGGGCGGGAGGATTATATATTTTTATGGGAATGACCCTATATAACCTTATTCTAAAAAAAAGTTTTTGGACATCCAACAGAATTTATAAGGGCGCCATAAATTTTCAGCAACCTAAGCTGACAAAAAATATTCTAACGTTTTTTAGAGTGCAGTTTTCTCAGAAATTGATTTTCCTGAAGCTAATTTATCTATTGACATTAGAAATAAACGATGGCCTATTATTACCCGTAGAACGCCTGATATTTTTCAAGAACAGATTTCTTCTTCCAAGTCAAAAATGACATCTCTGACGAAAATATCTGATCAATTCACTTTATTTTTCGATGAAATCCAGAAACGCCGAGTGTAAATAACGCAGAAGTGGACAGACTGCAGGCCGAGAAAGATCAAATGAGAGAAGAAATGACATCTCAGATAGCGAAACTCAAAGAAGAGAATTCATTATTACGAAGCGAACGAGAGAAGGAAAATGAGAAACTCAGAGAAGTTTGTTTGCATTGTGTCCTTGAAAAGATGAAAAAAAATTAATGCTTGGTGTGTTTTTTTAACCAGTCAATTTTCGGCGATCGAAATATTAGTTTTTAACAAAAAATTTATGACCAATTGAAGATATCGACTCTCTGAATTCAGATTCAAAATTATATTTTACCTCTGATCAATTTTTTGAAAATTGTCCATTTGGCCATGCTCTGGACTAATTTAAGAGCACTTTGAAGATTTTATCCATAATGTTGAAAACGTAACGCGACTTTTTTCATGCGTGGCAAATTATCCTGCAGAACAAAGTCGTTCCAATTTGGATTGAGACTAGCTAATCGGTCGTATTAATGTCGCACGTCTCAAATTTTCTACTTAATCTTTGTCACAAAGTTGGTACATTATTTCTGTTCAAGTGGTTGATATTCAAAGAAAACAGCCTATTCAAATCTACCCTATGCAAATCTACCCTAAGTTTATCTACTCTATGTTCTATAAAGTGTTCAATTGCCAAGGATAACTTAGCTGACTATCGCGGGTCAAGGTCGCCGGTGGGCGCGCTATGCGGGCGCAATTATTGGCTCTAGTTTTCGTTTAGAGTCCTACCCTCTGCAGGCAAGCACGTCTCATGTTGACGCGACTGCAGTGATCTTTTTTTTTGATTTTATCGCTCCCTCTTAAATTAGGCGAAGGGTAGATTGGCATATAGTAATAATTAGGATAGATTGGAATGGTGTAGATCGTCCTGCTACCAAAGTAATAATTAGACCAAATAGCATGCCTCTATTCAATTCGGAACGATTTCCAAGAAGGATTAAATCTCCGCTTAAGCGTTAATAGCACGAATAATATCGCGCGCTAATTATCCTAAATTGGTCAAAATAGCAATAGTTAAAACAAACTTTTTGAAAAAATTATCACAGGTGAAATATCTTTTTAAATATGAGCTGAGGGTAATAATATTTTTGCCAAAGGTTTTTGATTAAGAAGTCGAAATTTGTCTGGATAAAAAAACCACGCTGAGCACAAATGTTCCGTCACTTTCTCCAAAATATGGAACAAAAAGACTGTTTGTCCTAGGGCAAAGATTTTAAAGCTAGCTCCGACTATACTCCTCAAGGAAATATAGTTAATGACTTCGAGAAAATTGATTACAAACGTTGAAAACACATAAATATTCAATTAAATGTTTCAAAATTGGAAAAATATATTTTAAATTTTTTGTTTTTTCTTTGTTTCTTAGCTTCTTTCATTTCCTCATTACATTATCAGGAATATGAAAAGAAGCTCATTGACAAAGATGCAGTGTTCCGCAAAGAAAAGGACGAGGCTACGCGACGCTTCGCACAGGAGAAGCGAGATCTGGAGCGGGGCTTGAGCGTAGACATGGAGCGTCAACTAGCGGCATTCCAAGAAAAAAAGAGGGAGCTTGAAGAAAAGATGGAATACGAAAAAGCGGAGTTGTGTCACACTTTTCAGATGGTAAAAAAATAAAGATGGTTCTTCATTTTCTATTCAAAATACATTTTGATTTGCTTAAGTTCAGGGGCGGATCTAAGATTTTTAGGTCGACCAAATTGATTTTCTGAGTTCCCAAATCACTATAAATGAACCTATATTGACCAAGTTTTCAGCGCCTCAGGGAATTTTTTGAAAAAACAGGCCAAAAACTTACGCGTATTCAAAAATTCGCCCGGGGGAGGGGGGTACATCAATTTCATGAAATGCGTATGTTTCAGAAGTGTAAAAAGGTAAACCCTAAACTACAATATAGTTAATAAAAATTCATTATAATCAAGTTATTAGCGCTACACTCACATCGCTTTACGTCGCAATCATCATAAAAACCTCTGCATGTGGATTATTACGACCGCTCTAATTAAGGGTGTTAAAAAACAAAAAAATTAATTTTTTTTTAATTATAACTTTTATTTGGACCCCTAAATGTTCTGTAGTTTTTTAAGTAGTGGCGATTAAATAAGCTAATTAGCTATAATAAAGTGGAGAGAGTGGGCCAAAATAACTGAAAATACGCCAAAAATAACGAATTCAGAACAAAAAGTTAGTCTTTCCGCTGAGAAAACTTCTGTGACAATTTTTTTTGAAAATCAAAATTCTTCAACTCAGGGCTTTGACGCAAAAATGATGAAGGATGGTTTTCACCGTGTTCAGGGGCGGATTTAGGGGGGGGGGGGACGCCCCCCTTCTCCTCAGGGATTCGACCCCCTGCCGAACCAAAGGGCCCCCCCTTGGTACTTTTTAAGAAATCCACTTTTGGCCGACCGACCCTAAAATTTTTCCAAAGGCGCCTTCAGCGCCAATATATACTAACTTTGAGGGGAGCGCGCGCCAGAAAAATGCTATTTTTTTGTCAAAATGTTACAAAAAGTGCCCAAAAACGGCTTTTTTGACCTGTTTTTTCAAAAAAACTTGCCTGCGGCGCAGAAAATTTGGCCAAAACAGCGTCTTTTTAGTGCTCTAGGACAGCTCTTACGGGATTGAGTGGAAGAAAAATGTTGTCACAAATGTTCAAGCTTATATTTTCAATAAAGTAGTTATAATTTAGAAGGCTGCTCGAACGCTTGTAATCAATTGGCCCATTTTGGGAAGTCTTAGTTTGAAATTGATTCGTTTTTGATACCATCAATAGTTACACGTTGAACATGCGTAGTAGCATGTAGATGTTAGAGAACCTAGTACTATTCACTGCTGTCTTTTGTGAAATTGGCGAGTTTTTTTGCCAGGAGCGTTCTGATATGGTGAGCAGTCAGAAGAAGGAGATCGAAAAAATGAAGGTGATGTTTGAGGCCAAGATGATGGAACTGTCGGCTGAAAATGACAAACTGAAGGAACAGCTCGACCAGGTAGTGCTACCTCTAAACTCAAATTTCAGAAAACAAATTACGAAATACATAGAAATTCCCATATTTGTTTTTTATACTTTTGAGCTCGAGGTATCAATAGTTTCATACTGTAAAAAAGAATTCCGTCAAAGGCTGATAGGTATAAAAACGAAATTGGTCGCGCCAATATTCCCTCACTTTCTTCCACATATTTTTGTCCCGACCATTGAAAATGGTGAGGAACTTTGCATTCGGGTCTGTTTTAGTTTTTTGTTTGTAGTTTCCACGCAAAATCAGTTACCACAAATAATAATCAGACTGGGTTGTGTGATATACCATATTAAAGCCTGTTTAGTCGTAGTTCGAACCACATAAAAAAATTTCCAAAAAACTTTTGTATGGTTAAGAAAAACCGGTTTTAAATTTTTGTTTTTTCGTCTTAATTTGAGCGAATAAAGCAAGCCAGCAGGCTTACAACAGCTGAATTATGCCTATTTCAAGACCTTAAAACTTAATTTTAGGCAAGTAAACTAGTTTTTGGAGTTTTTTAGCTTCTTTTTAGGAACCAAAAATTTTTTTAATTTTCTTTTAGTTTACTAGCCATTTTTCTACAAAATATGTTGTCCAATTTGCCTACATTTCTATGACTGTCTAATATGCCTAAAAATATATTATACCTCAGATCTTTTTATCACACCAAGCAGAAAAAGCACACTGATTCGGAACGAAAAGTTTCTCAACCGCAGTTTTTTACAGACGATGATCGGAACATTCTGTGCTTCTTGCACAGTAACCGGCTATCCTTGTTTATATTGTTTATTTGGTTGGAAACAATAATTTGCCATTTTTTGTCCCCTGTTTGTAGAGGCAGGAAGTAGTTTCGTGCTAAGAAGTCGTTGCGTGGCTACAAAAAATGACGCCAAAAACAGAAATGCTTACTCTAGTTATAGGTCAAACTGTTGAAAACATTTTAATTATTTGCGTTAGTCCATATAGAAATAATTCTGAAATGCTTTAAAAAAGTTGGTGAGTTTCGACGTGATTTTATTAAAAATATCAGGCCGAAGCCAGAGCCGAAGCCGAAGCCAAGGCCGAAGCGGTATAAAAGGCCGAAGACTTCCCCTTATTTGGCATTGAATAGTTTTTGGTAATTAAATAATAAAAAAAGTTTAAAATTTTGAAAAAAAATCAACAATAAAATGCAAGAATTTGAGTCGTACAATATCATTACGACCAATAGCTTGCCTCAAATCAATTCGATATTTCGATTGCTGGATAATTCGACACGCATAAATAATTTGTGCTGCACTTTCAGCATCATGAGAAAATCTTCACTCGCAAAAATTAGTCCGCAGCATAGCCAAAGTGGTTTTTTTGAGTCCCCTAGAGCTTTATAAAAAGTAGGAGTTAAACATCCCAGAGAAACAGCATCTTTAATGGAGTAGAACTTTTTTTTCTTAAAAATTATGATTTCAATTGCCAAAGTTTGACTGAACGAAAGTTGGAGAAACAAGACTAATCGTATCTCACGAATAAAAACCCTGACGTAAAACCAACTTAAAAGTACAAGTTTTTAGTCTAAAAATTTGTAAAATAATTGCAAGAAAATATATATATTTTTCATTTTTCTTCAAATTAGTCTAGTTTTTCTGCGTGGTGAGATAAAATGATCTGACGTAAAACTATAATCTAGGCAGATTCGACGATCATAGAGTTAAGAAAAATGACTAGAAAAACAAACGAAAACATAGGAAAATTTTTTTAAAAGCTTTTTTTCAAAATGGCATTTAAGATCTCCAAAAACTAGTTTAACTCGAATAAAAGTAAAATAAGTCAAAAATAGTCTACTGCAACGGGCCTATATTGAGCATTACTCGCTGGAATTTAGACCAGTTTTTTAGACCAGTTTTTCTCGACACTAGAAAAAAATTTTGATAGTTTTTAATGTGCTATAAAATCGCGACTGAAAGGGTTTTATTATGATATATCACTCAACCAAGTCCGAAGATTATCTGTTGTACCTGATTTTGCGTGGAAAATAAAAAGAAAAAAATTGAAACACACACTAATACAAAGTTCCTGCCCCTTTTCGATGGTCGGAACAATTAGTTTTTAATGAGTCAGTCTTCTAACTGATTCCGGAATACACCTATAAATTGCGGAAAAACAGATGCGCGATAGTCAACTACTTGTTTTTTTTGGCTGATTAAAAAACCACCCCAAACATCAAAACTCCGTCAGTTTCTTCGAAAGTCGGAACAATTATGTGTCAATCAGGAGCGGATTTAGGGGGGGGCTGGACGCCTTTTTCTTTTTCCTCAGGGATTCGACCCCCTGCCGACCCAAAGCCGTCTCCCCTTTGGTACTTTTAAGAAATCCAGTTTTGGCCGACCAAATTTAAAATTTTTGGCGCCAATATATACTAATTTTGAGGGGCGAGCCTTTTTTGGCCTATTTTTTTCAAAAATTTGCCTGCGGCGCAAATTTTGGCCCAAATAGGAATAAAACAGTGCTTTAGAGCTCGAAAAATTAATTTGGTCGACCTAAAAAAAAAGGTAAACAAAATTTTAAAAATTTCGAAAGTTTTTTTGAAAATCCGCCCCTCCCTCGAGAAAATCCTAGATCCACCCCTGGTGTCAATAGATAGGAAATATACCACTTTGTTGTTTAAATTGGGTGTGAAGGAAGATAAATTAAAACCAATTGTATAGCTATAAAAAAATTATTTGAGATACAAAATTTGAATCAAAATATAATAATCTGACAACATCGGACATTTTTTAAATAGACTATTTCCTGAGTTGAAGTATGCCCTATAAAAATCTGTAACTTATCGCAGGGGCGAATTTAGAGGGGGAGGGGCGGGGGCGGGGGGTTGGGGAGAGCGGACACTCTTTTCTACCTCCTCCCCCTTCCTCAGGGGTTCGACCATGAAAATCCGCCCCCCCCCCCCCTCGAGAAAATCCTATATCCGCCGTTGACTTATCGTATTGTTTTGCTAAATTATTACTTCCGATTTTTCTGAACTGCAGGTGGAAGACAAGTTCAAAATGTTGCGTATTGAGACCGAGAAGAAGGGGTCAGGGTCAGGCGGCGGCAAAAGGGGAGGGGCCAAAGGGGAGCCTGAAATACCCCCCGCTGTGCAAGTGGAACTGGTTGACCTCTCGAAACAGGTATGTCACTCAGTACTTTTGAAGCGCTAAAAAACTTCAGTTGTGCAAAAATCAACATTTCAAATCAAAAATCAACATTTTTTCACACCAAAAACCCTAGATAGGATTTTGAATAACAATTTTAAGTAGTATTGTATCGTGTCCCGGATCCTAAGGGGGGGGGGGGGGTCCTTTTTAAGGGGGGGGGGTCCTTTTTAAGGGGGGGGGGGGTCCTCACGTAAAGCAAAATCCTAGGAAAGGGGTCCTTAATTTTTTGGAGGACCCCTATCCTAGGATTTTGTAAACGAAAGAAATTTTCCACCCAAAAAGCAGAAGACCCCCTGCTTAGGATCTTGCTAAGTTTAGCTTAACAACAAGGGACACGATACAAAATTCTTTCTAATTCCAATTTTTGGGGTCCTAATTATTGGTCCTGGTTAATTATATGAATCATATTAATTGTTATATTTGTTTCGGGCAAATGAACTTTCGACCTAGTTGAAATTTGTTAGTGAACGGGGAATTGACTTTTATGGTATATAATAAAAATGCGCCGGCCAATTTGGCAGCGTAGCTTAACTGTTGGCAGCAGTAAACTAATTCCTTAACTTGACCTAAATTTTATGGTGAAAAGGCAATAAATTGAAATTACTCTCAAAAGGCGGCGGCCGTTTCTGGGCAAAATATACCAAATGATAAATTTGACAAATTTTGAATTAAGAAAAATGAAATTAGAGAGAACTTGGTGTACTGAAGATATTGATAATGAACATTTACAATAAAGAGTGTTTTCAACCGCAGAAAAAAACTCATTTTTCAAATTTAGTAATGAACGCTACGTCGTCTTCCTCGAAATGGCAAAGGAAATTTCAAAGAAAGAATACGAGTTAATTTTCAAAGAACAATTTTATTTGAGTGAGCTTCAACAAATCTCTTGGTGCATTTCTACAAAACAACAGTATGGTACTGTGAGCGATTTGAATTTTGCTGATTATGAAAACGTATTCGACTATTCGTTTGATTTTACCTCAAAAAGGGTTGATAAAGACTTGGAGAGAAAAATCCGTCTATGTTTCAACAAGCTATCAAAATACAAAAAACTCCCGGTGGTTTATTTAATTATTTACCACCGTTATCTTAATGAGATTAAATGGTATTTGCAAGGTCACTTTTATTTCCACTGGCTTGAAATTCAGCAGGTTGGAGAGGTGTTGGAAAAAATAAATATTGAAACTGCAAAAAAGCAGAGTAACTCCTATTGATTTGAAAATAATTCACGAAATTTATACGTCTTTGAAACAAACTTATCCTGATAATTCTAACCGACGCAACTATTTTCTAGCTGCATGTTCTCTGTTTTTTGTTAGTTCTGATAACTTTAACTACGACATTTTAATTAAGTTGAGACCTTATGGTGGCTTGATTGGTATTGATAACTCTTCCTTGGACAAATACTTGCAAAATTCCAAAATTTTACGATTGCACGCTATTTTGCACGATGCGGCCCGATTTATACACGAATTTTATCAACAGGGTCCCACGTACTGTTACATGTTGCCCTGGAACTGTAACAACAGCTTATTGGGACATTTGAGTGGAATAGCGTTCTGCCTTTTCATTAAGTTGAAAAAACCAGAAGTTTATCATTTACTAGAATGCTAGGCGAGAGATCAGTTGTGCTTGACGTGGAAGGCTTTCGTTACAAGAAAAACGCCTTTGTGGTTAAAGAATTAGCAATAACAACTTCAGACTACAGCGATCGACTCATTTTCCTACCTCCAGTGAACTTCAATATACTAGCAAAGCTTGAACAAAAAGCTTACAACTGGTTAACAAATTATTTACACGGTCTCCATTGGGAAAACGGTGATTATCTTTATATAAACTTGAATCAAATACTTCAAAGTTTTGTGCTGAGAAATCCCGGTGCCGTTTTTTACGCTAAAGGAAAAGAAAAGACAGAATTTTTGGCCAAGTACTTGGACCGAAAGATTGAAAACCTAGATGATTTGGGCTGTCCTCGGGTTGAAAACTTATATTTTAAAAATTATCCAAGTTGCAATAAACATATTCCACATTACAACTCCAGGAATCATTGTGCCCTGAAGAAAACCAAGGTTTTTTATGATTGGTTGAAAAATGAACAACAGCGAGAGATCAGCGAAAGTGGAGTTATACCTATCACCAAATTCAATGCTTTGTGCGTGGATGACTCCAGAGGGTGATATTAAAATTTCATTAACGAGAATAGAGCGTATTGATTGCAGTGGCCAAATTGTTCAGAGGAAGGAGCAAATAATAATTTCCGAAGAAGAGTTGTCTACGTTGAAGAGGTTTTTTCCAGTTATTGATCAATTTGTATACTTCCAGAGATTCAAGTTTATCAGAAATGTTAGCCAGCAAGCGAGGAGTATATCTTCCCGAACTAGTCTTAGTACCCAAACGTCAGCCAGGAGTTCAGATGGATCTAAAAAGCAGTGAATTGCCAGAAGAGATTAAGACGATTGTGAAAGAGGATACTGTGAAGAAAATAATGTACTACAAAAAAACTGCAAATATCCCAGCAAACTTTGTTTTAGAAATGCATGACATAAATGATAGAGATTTCACACGTTATAAAATTTTTTACTGCTCTCAAAAGTAATTTAATTTTTTACAAGCTTCATTCACAGAGAGAAAGAGTCTAACACAGTCTGTAGAATAAATAGTTTCTCAAATGTCAGAAGCAACAACAGCAGTAGATGAACCTGACGCAACATTAGTAACAGAGTTTGTTTATAACGAGAAAAACAGTGAAAAAAATCATGGAAGTTTTGTAACAATGTAACTTTGCCAAGGTCTGAAGTAGTTTTTGTTGCGCAAATGGTAGTAATTCTAATTTTACTAACTTTCTGCATTCTCAAACTTTCTTTCACTAAATTAAGTTGCGAAGAAACGTCAGTTTGGTTCTCGATTTTATCAGGCTTGGTTGGTTACGTACTACCAAACCCAAGAATATGAATAAAGTGATTGATACTTCGACAAGAATTTTTATGGCGATAGTGGGACCTTCAGGATCCGGGAAAACTGAGTTAATTTTGAAACTTCTGATGGGAAATACTTTTTACCCTAAATTTGGAACCGTTCTATATCTTTACAAAGAGATGCAACCTGCATTCTCAGAAAAAGTGTCTTCTCGCGAGGTGAACGTGGAGTTCATGAAATTCGACGGATTCGAATCTGTGAGAAAATTAGAAAATGTTCTTCTAGTTTTCGATGATTCATGTGAAGACATCTATAATGACAAGGAATTTGTTAGGTTAGCGACAGCGGGTAGACATAATGGGATAGATGTAATATATGTTAAGCATAACTTGTTTCAACAAAGTCGATGGTCGCGTACGATTGATTTGAACACTTCACACATCATTCTGTTCAAATCGCCTCGCGACGTTCAGCAACTAGATCTTTTAGGAAGACAATTGAATGTATCAAAATTTTTGAGAAACTGTTACGAATTAGCTACCAGAGACTCTTTTGGACATCTTCTAATCGACTTGGACCCCCGTACATCAGATTGTTTGAGATATTGTTCAAATATCACACCACCTGGGCCAACAGTTTTTTATTTACCCTTATCTGAAGCAGAAACTACTCCAATCACAAATGAAAAAGAAAAACTTATCTATTCTGCGGCATATGGTACAACTGAAACCTGACCAGCTAAGAAGATTAATTAGAAAAACTTCAAATCGTGAGATCATAACACTTATTTGTGAATGTTTGCTCAATGTAGTCAATGGAAACGTACCCGTTAAAATCGCAAACATCGAACGATTCGAGACAGCATACAAATACTTAATAACTCCAAAAACCAGTGTTGTCAAAAGACGTGCGATTATTTTGAGTAAAGAAGGCTTCCATTTAGTTCGACAAATACTTTTTTATTGTTACAAGTACCTCACAACTTAATGATGACTGCTGAAGAATTCATTCTAATTCCGAAACACTTATATGTTAAAGAGCAGCCACATGCTGCACGTGTTCTTCATGATAATAATATTAAACATAAAAATGCTCAACTGTCCTATCTTAACCGGCTTAGACCCCAATTACCTCCACAAACTAGTAAGACTACTGCAACGAAGGAAACATTTACGGATAATGTTGAGCCCCAACAAGAACAGCTTAAACTGTTAACGGACGATGAAGAAGTACCGGTCGAACGTGTTAAAGACGAAATACTAGAAGAGAAACACAATAGACATACCGAAAGAATTTTAGGACAGTTACAAGTTTTAGAAGACAAAAAATTTGTTAGAGCAAAAACCGTACTTGAAATCATACAAAATTCAGAAAGAGTAACCATAAACCGTGACAATGAGGTGATATATGTAGATAAAGTACCAACAGGACTTAAAGCTACAATTTTTTTATACGACATACAACAACCAACGAAAAAATTACACAATCCGGCGTTCATTAACATTTTAACTGCTCTCAACTTGAATGAAAACCTGGTAATAAATCGAAATGCCAAACACGCGGTTCAGTCAGCGCCTATTAACGCTCAAGAGAAACAAGAACCCGGACTCTCAAGAACCCGCTCAACGTCGCCCACTTGGCAGGAAAAAAGTAGTGCAAACCTTAAGAGAAGTAAAAAACACAAACGAAAAAGTCTCAGCGGTAATAGAAAAACCAAAAACCAAAAACGTGAAAAAGAGTCAGAGAAGGCTCTGACTCATACGGAACGCCCCATAACGATTCAGATTCTCCAACGTCAGAAAAGACGAAGGCGCAAACAAAACAATGGGAAAATTACCAAGATTGAAGAAAAATTGTTGAAAACTAAATACAGTGACAAAGGTCCCGCGTTATTTGGTAGTGTGAACAACTTGATAAAAGCAAGCAATTTGTCGCGAAAGAAAGTTAAAAATTTCCTTCATACTGAACCTGCTTACACGAAATATCGAACTGTGATCCGAAAAACGCCGCGACTCAAGGTCATAGTTTACGATATCGACGAAATCTGGTCATTAGAT